CTTTTGCCCTCTGGCAAAGAGCATAACGAGAAGCCGGAAAGTGAAGCTGCAGCCAAGCCAAGCGCAAGGAAATGGTGAAGCTTTCTCGAGGAAATGGTGAAGCTTTCTCGAGGAAATGGTGAAGCTTTCTCGAGGAAATGGTGAAGCTTTCTCGAGGAAATGGTGAAGCTTTCTCGAGGAAATGGTGAAGCTTTCTCGAGGAAATGGTGAATCTTTCTCTGCCGTTAGGTGGTAATGTGAAGTTAAACATTACATTTCCAAATAAGGAAATCTGTGTTTTAGTAGCTTCCTGTTCAGAGCAGTTTTTACGTGTATAAAAGTATTGTAGAGCAGGAGACAAATTTCAAACAACCTAAAACTCCTGCATCAGTACTGACCAAACAAGTTCAAAGAAACTCCCAAAAGAAACACAACTTCAAAAAGGGAATATTAAATTGCAATATTTTAATGTGTTCACGTCAGACAAATATCTGACTTCGTCATGTGAGTCGTCCAGCAGTTGAAAGCAAATCTTTTGCCTGTTTTCATTGAAATGGCATACTAGCGAACTAGCAGCTAATCTCCGTTCTTTTGAAATTGCAAAGTAGTGGCTCTAGTGTGCCAATGTAACTGTGATGGATGTTTATGTTAAAACCTGATGCAGTGACAGGAGCAGTGAAGAACCACCCACCACAGTCACCACGGTGACTGAACACAATCCGATGGAGAAACATCACGGGAATCACGGCCCAGGAAATCCAAGTTTATCTTCTTCACCTAGACGGCGACACCACTATGTCAATGTGCTCCAAAACACAATTTTGTTTCATATATTTTAAGTAACAAATAAAAAAGTGTAAGGTTTTAAGTTTTTATTTCACATAAAACGGACATGCTATCCCTCTTTATATGTTGAGATAGCATCCAGAAGAGAATAAAATTTAACTTTTTACAACAATAAGCATTTACTGTCTAATTTTTTTTTTGCTTAACATAGAAACAGCAGCAATTTATTATCAGAGTGAATGGAAAGCTCTTCAGACACTGAAAGCATGAGCTGCACTCTGTCTTAGTGTAGTAGTCAGTTAGTCACTAGCAGTGAGAAACATTACACCCACAATCTGTCAAAATGAATATTTTCTGCTGCAGGAGAAGTCACCATGTGGGCGTAGGAGCATTTCATTTAGTGCTCACTAATATATGATCAGGCAAAATAATAAACTTCTAAGAGGCTGTAAAGTGGCTGAATATGTAAACATTAATAATAGGAGTAATTCTTTAGCAAAAGCAGGAAAGGAGGTTAGTATTTATCATCAGTGCCTGAAAGGTGGTATTCAGTCATTAAATGAATAAAGCAGAAATAAAAGTGTAGATAAACATTGATTGATGTCTAAAATGCATGCAACGTTTCATCGTGAAAACTGTTTCTCCTTTTCATCCTCAGGAAAAAGTCTTGGCTTTCTGCCAATGCTCAGATTAAATTCATTTTTTAAATTATTTCAGAGACCATTTCGCTGTTCCAGTACGAGTCCGTCGGGGGGGTGAGAAAATTCATCACAATGTTTTTGAACTCAAGCCGCTGCTTGTGAGGTTTTTTTTTTTTTTTAGTTATGCCATGCTGTGAAGATTACAAGGAGACTGCTCACCACATCTGATAGTTGCAGTGGTGCATAATAGTTTACATAAATAGTTAACACAACTGTGCATGTGGCATCATTAGCAGTTTTACATGGCAACACAGTTTTTTTTCTAGGTTGGTATCAGTAAAGGGGGTATATGAAAAATGTTCATACATTTTTCATATATTTTATGAAACATTTTGGTCCCAGCATATGCCCCTGATCAATCAATCAATCAATCAATCAATCAATCAATCAATCAATCAATCAATCAATCAATCAATCAATCAATCAATCAATCAATCAATCAATCAATCAATCAATCAATCAATCAATCAATCAATCAATCAATCAATCAATCAATCAATCAATCAATCAATCAATCAATCAATCAATCAATCAATCAATCAGTCAATCAATCAATCAATCAATCAATCAAGTTTAGTATAGCCTAAATACAAAAAATACAGTCAAAAGCGCCCTAAGCAGGTGTGTTGTAAGTCTTTGCAGTTTTCAGGAAGTTTGCTCCAGATTTGTGATGCATAGAAGCTGAATGCTGCCGGTTCTGGAACGAGGTCTGGGGATGCAGAGCAGACCAGATTCAGGAGATCTGAGGCTCGAGATTGTTCCTCTTTAGGTCCAAAGATAATAACTTTAGCTTTCTGAAGAAAAGAGAACACAGACATGTGAGTCTCACATGTCTGTGTTCTCTTTTTTTCATAAATACATGTATGTATTGTTTTCTAGTCGACTCAAATTTGTTTAAAGGCCTAAAACATACAAAAATATACTCTATAAAAATATTGGGCTTCATGTGCCCTTATTTTCTTAAGGTGTAAAACACCAGACTTTCAATTCCTGAACAAAATAATCGTCATTAATTTAGGAGATTAAAAAGTTTCTCTTCTTTAAAGATCTGTTCAGAGAAGTGATGGGCTGGAAGCTTCTTGACTGCAGTTATTTCTGTCACACATCTATTACAGCGCATTATAATAGATATGATTTTCAAAGATAAATCACAAGAGTCTTTGTGTAAGGATGTGTTGAAAATTATGTATTGCTTGACTTAAAGTGATAAACCACAATTAAAATTATGTACTTTCGATTGTTGCAGCGATTTCATGCTTTATGTATAAAATCGCTGTATGCAATTTTGTACTTTATGTTTGAGTCAGAGGAATGATGTTTAATTTTAACTCATGTAATCCACTTCAACACTGTGATATGTTGTTTAAAGCGGAAACATGTAATCACATGTTTTATTCTTGCAAAACAGTTTTATTCTTACAAATGAATGAAACTGCATTTAAAATCCAAAGCCAAGCAAGTTGTGCAATGCGGTTAGGTTTGCGATTGATCTGACACGCTAACTGTGATGCTCAACTTCACCATTTATCTTCAACCTAATTTCAAAAGATTTATATCTTCATGCATTTTACGTTCAGTTGCAAGTAAAATGCATCTGAGCTGATCTGAGAGCTGTAGTTGTTGAAAGCCATCCAGACAACAGATGGTTTCAAATACTTATTATGTGGTCATGGCCTCCAGGTGTAAACTGTGATCTCGTGCTCTCAAGTCATCCATCAGCACCCTCACTGACAAAGCTCAACACCTGCACCGCACTGAATCTCCTCCTCCACTCTCTGCTAGTCACAATGAGGAAAGTATGTTTTTTGTGTGCTGTTTGGGCTTCTTGAAATATTATTTTAATTCTCTGCTGAAAGTTCACAAAAGAAAACCTTGATATTTGACTGAATGCACGTCTCACTTGAGCGTAATCACACAATAACGACTCCCGAAATGCAAAATCAAACTTTGGAAGGTGAAGTTTTCAGTCTCTTCTCTTTCAACACGCTCATTGCCCTTGTGGACCCGGCAACCTTGCAGGTGTAATTTTGTATCTCGTTTGCCGCGAACGAGGGAGTGGATTTAGGTGTCAGGCTTAATTGCCTTTGAGTGAAATTCACTGTTGGTGTTGCCGCATGAATAAAGCTGTCAGAAAAAGAAGCAGACAGGAGACTCACACTGAGCTGCTGCTGGGAGGACATGAGCAGTGAGTAATGAAGAGCAGAGTCTGATGGTGTAGAGATCAACAATAATATTTGGATTCAACTTCAGTTCCGATTCGTTTCAGGTGGAATCTCAAATTGACCTTTGTGGTATGCATTCTTTAATTGGTCACATCTCACGTTTTAGATTCAAACAATGTACAGTCAGGTAAACACAATATGGACACTGTGATGTCCTGTTTAATTAAATTGTGTTGCAATATTACAGCAGTTGATGTGATCCATACATCATTTCTCAAGAAGTTTATTTTATTTGTTTTGGTAAGGTCATGAAAACATGCTAAGGACTCTGTTGGTTCACATTATTTTGTTTTCTACCTTTTTGGCTTACAGACCGAAAATGTCTTTCTTCCTTCTTCCAACGCTTGCGCTCTAGAAAACCCCCAGAGGGACATGTCCCTGGAACGTCTTCAGTCTAAAACGTCAAAGATAAGTTATTTCATTACCTTTTTCTTTTTCTGAGCAATCCCAGAGTAAATCTGTGCCTAATTACTTCACCAGATATTTAGAAAATACTGTCCTATATTTTCTGTGGTGAGTAGGTAAAAAAAAAATTGAAATTGATAGTCTTTAAAGATATTCTAGCCTAATCATTTTGGTCAACCAAGGTTATGGTAAGCATTTATTCATCCATTAAAACATCTACATCTATCTGGTGAATAACGTTTTTGTAAAAACATCAGACATTTTTAGAGCAAAATTTGGTAAAGAAAAATATTGAAGGTATCTAAGACTTGCATAAAGAAATCAAAAGCAAGCAGAACAACAAACCATGAAAGGAGTGACAGAAAGTTATTGGGTCATTTCTAATAGAGTAAAAGTAAAGTGATAAGAACCCACTCATGCAGGGAGAAGATCCAAAACTCCATACAGAAAGACCCCAGGCTGGGAATCAAACCCACAACCTTCTTGCTGAAAGGCAACAGTTCTAAGTTGTCAGAGTTTGTTGTGGAACGAGCTTGATTTGAAAAACAAAGTGTTTGCATACGAGCGGTAAGGCCAGACGCACAGAGAGAGTTGTTTAGTAATGCCATCCCTGCATGTTGCTGCATATGACTCCATTTGATAAAATCATTTCTATAATTCACGACGCAGCGAATACTCTATCCCACAGCTTTCACATGTTGCCATTTCTCCAAATGCAAATAATTAATGACTGCTCACAGCAAGAAGACAAAAAAATATATATTTTTAATGCTGTTTATATATCTTCTCATGTATTAGCTTTGAAGATAACTCTGAATCAGTACTTTAAAGATTTTTCTGGTGCAAGTCATCTTTATTTTCAGTGAATCAGACAGGAAATAAGTTGACAGAGAAGGTGGGAAATCATTCAGCAGGCGTCCCAGACTTGGGAATCGAACTCTGGAGGCTGTGTCAAGGACTTGTGTATATATAATAACTGAATCAGAGAAGGTCATTGTTAGCAAGTCAAAGTTTTTTCAAATCCAGAAAGCGGTGATTGGTGCACAAATCCATGTTAGCTGCTGTGCCTCTGCAGTACTGTCACACTCACTTGCTCCACTCATCAGCTCCTTAACCCTTTTTAGTATAAGATGATAAGCGACAGTCTTCTTGTACTCTCACTTGTTAACAATCCAGTAATCTATTCCAGACATGCTTGTATGTTCTCACATGTTAAATAAGTCACTCTGTCCTCAGTCCTGCACTTTCCTTGGATTCCAGCATCTTCACAGTGTTTGTTTCTTCCGATTCTTCTGTGCCTCAGCCGCCTATATTAATTTACCAGCACTCATAAGAAAATGTTTAAATGATTTTGCATTGCTGAGATCTTTTTTGAAGTTTTACTGGGAGAGCGCAGACAGCCGAGGCAATGAAACCGAACAAAGAACTACTGGTGAGAAAAAGTAAATGTTTAAAAATTAATTTCTCTTCTCCCATCTGATTTCTCCCCACAGATGAGGTTGGTGTATGAATATGCTTCTGTGAAGCCAGTATGTTCTGCGTTGCTGGAGTGAGATGAAAGTTCGGTCGGAACGCCTGAGGCTGTTCTCATGGGGAGCCCAACAACCACCAAGGGTCACTGCTTTGTCTGCCAATTACGGAGCACACACTCTGCAGCTGTATGAAACAGCTCCACACATTACCCACAATTACCTTTGCATCTATCATGTGATGCTTCACTGCTTCATCGTTTAAGAGCAACATGAAGTCACTCTGCAATAGCAATTATATGCTTTCCTCATTGCTCTATCTGCTACCTTGCATGCTGTCCCGTGGATTAGTGAAACCCTGCAATGAACAAGAAGACTTTCTTCAATATTTTTGGGCTTATACATGTATGACATCTGAAAGAAGAGTAAAAAAATAAATCCATCATGACCTTTCTTGTCTTCACTCACCATTAGATCAACAAACTGTTGATCTCTGATACAGACGAAAGTGAGTCAGAGGACTCATAGGAAGTCATCGCCACAATCTGGACCCAGTCTGGGAACAACAGAGCTAGAGCATTCATTGTGTGTCTCCTTCCTTCAGAGGAAACAACTGTCATAAGTTATTCACTGCATTTTAACCTCATCTATCAACACTGCGCTTAGGGCACTAATAAATGAGAGCAGGATGACTAACAATGGCCCCAGAGGCAGATTCACATGTGGGCCGTTTCCTACCTAAAGCCGAGTTCAAAGAGAAAGCAGTGATGGGCTGATGACTGGGATTTTCATCAACATCTCCATGAACATTGTCAGGAAACCTATGAATGGATGGATGGAGAATATGGCTCCTCTCTTTGAACCTTGTATAACATATGATGTCACTCGGTCATTATTCAGGAACCTTCATAGACCCTGGACAGATTGACAGTCCATCACATACCACAGTAATCAAACCCAGGACTATCTTGCTATGAGGCAGCATAATGTAATAAATTGTATTGTTTTGAAACTTGGGTTTTTACTTCTCAGACCTGGAAAACTAATATTTAATGTATAAAGGCTGATTTTTCTCCTCCCACTATCAATATGGCATTAAGAGGATCACAATATACTTTGGATTTGGCCACAATATATGTCACAATATAAATTAGACTGGGATAGCGTCAGGATTTTCATTTTGGATATTGCATGTCAAACAAAGGACAATACATCAAATTTATTTATGTTACTCAGCCCTATGCAGGTGCTTAGATGTGTAGCTGCCTCTCCATTGTTTTTAACTGGTTAATGTCTCGTCACAGTTTGGAGCATCTCCTCTGGGGGTTTGTTACTCACTCTGGGCATGAAAATGGAAATCTCTGATGTTTGCAGCGACACTCAGCAATAGACAATCTTAAGGCTCAGACTTTGATGGACTAAACCCAGAATTTCACTGGCGCCCCTGTCATAATTAAAACAACTCATATGATCTGATTAGTTCAAGATTTAGAAGCGTGGACAACATGGACCGAATGGTTTCGTTCACTTCCTCCGCTCCCATTGCCAAACTACAACCCTGTGTAGGCAGACTGCAAACGTTTGTAGGAAGGCAGTGTCCAGGATACACAGGATGTGTTATTGGAAATGAATCTGGTGGACGGGGGAAGAACCAGTTAAAGCCACTCCCATTGAGAAATGCCTTATGTGGTGTAAGTAATGCTGTGTCCTGTTTGTCTTTGGAGTTCAAGTCTGGAGATGACATCACATCCTAGTGGAGCTCACTGTAACTTCAAGTTGGAAAACCAATGTCATTTTCTAACAGTTTGGATGTGTAAAAAGCATTCAAGCATCGTTAAATCAGTGAAAAGGGCCACGGTGTCTCACAGATTCACAGCTCAAAGCTTTAAAACTGCTCAAATTGAAACTGGTCGCATTTCTTTTGAAAGATTAACAAGCGGATTACATTGTTAAAAGAATTTAAGCCGTATCTGCAGCTTACTACTAACAATTTTGCAATGGGGAGGGCAGGTTTTCAGGAAAAAACGGGTTCAAATTTAATTAAATGAAATGACATCAGACTTGTGTAGCACCTTATTAGGACACTTCAAGATGTTTTACAATGAACTCAGTCATTCCCATTCATGCACACATTCACCAGCTGATTGAGCTGAATTGACAGGGAACATTGGACCCATATATTTCCAGATGGAAACTGACTCCAAACCACTCAGACTTCACCTGAGAGACAGAAGGTCAAAACATTTCAGCAGGCAAAGAGAGGAGTCATCACACAATGTAGAGCAACATATAAAACATGCAGAATAAGGTGCTCTGGTCACATGAGCAAGAGACCAAAATGTAACTGTGTGGCCTAGTTACAAAGTTACATTTGTATCCTATATTTGCAGGAAGTCTTAAGCAGGAATAGTGAAGTTGGTTAAAGTAAGTGGGGTAATAGTTAAGACCTAATGCAGGGAAATCCTGAGAGAAAACTTGACAAGAGGAAGCAAAAGCTTCAGTTTTTGGCAGTGTTTTGCCTCCGTGCAGGACAGTAGCAATAACTCGACAGCAAAATGATATCCAGATGTTGCAAATTGTGTTGGTCAGTCACATAAAATATCTATAGAATACATCAAAGTTTGTGTTTTCAATGTGAGAAAGTGCAGAAAGGTTAAAAGTGAATGAGCACCGTTGTAAGGCACTGTGCTGGATACTGGGGTATCTGGGGCATCTCAACAACTTTCAGCTGGCTTCACAGGGAGTTTTGTTGTAATTTTGACAGAAGTTTGGTCATTTGAGTGCACTCAAGAAAATCTAGATTTAAATCAGATAATAAGTGTGAATGACTCATATCCCTTCATGTTTTGCTTTCCCCCCAACTCTCTAATCAAAGCTTCAGCTGGAAGGTAAATGTTTGACTCAGTTGGTCTGACACCGCAAAGATAAATATTTCTTTCAAGAGTCACTGGAGGCTGAAAGGTCAGATTGAATCTTTGGCGATTTGGGTGGTCAAGAAAATTTACTTGAAGCATGCAGTAATTTTTGAGACTTAATTTCTCTTCAAGTCTTGATTGTAAATGGCAGCTCGCTTTTTTAAAAAACTGATGAAAGACCCTGAATTCACCAAGGAGGAGTTCAATGGTGAATTACCATTTCCCTTTAAAGCTCTGCTTGTTATTAGTGGATTGTTGATTTCTGAATCCAAGACACAGATCCCTCATCTTTTCTTCCATTCTGAAATTGCGATGTTTTAAAAAAATAATATCAAACACAATATATAACGTAACTGAGGTAAATAACGCAAACTATAACAATAAGCTTTCCTTTTTTTCTGGTCCATGAATGTGTCACACAGCAGAAGAATCAGCCTTCAGCTCAGAGTGTAAATCCAACCTGACAGGACTGCTGAGACGGCTCTGCGTCCACGTCAATGCTCAGAGAACCGCCCGCCTCGACGTCCACACGGCAACAAAGCTCGCACAGCGGGGCCTCGACCAATCAGGACTCTCTAAAAGGTGACAGGCCCGGGCCAGGTCTTCTTTTGCTCTCTGTCGCTATGGCTGCTGTGGCTTTTTTGTTTTCCTGAGAGAAACTCTGACAGAGCAGAAGAGAGCGAGAGAGATGTGCTGGCATACACACTCAACGTAAATGCCTTTTATTTTCATGTATGGTGAAGACCGAGACAGAGTCGTCATTGTGTCTTTTCCTTGCGACTGTGAAAGATACGTTAGAGGGTGAAGTGTGGATAAGTGTGTGATTTTCAGTGGGTGGCGCATTTGTTTTGAGTTTGCACCCTTTTGTAATTTTTGAATTTGTGGTTACATCGGAAATATGGGTATATTTGCAGACAACATTTGTACTGCAAGCAAATTATATTAAGCAATGTTTTAAAATGATGTCCAATGAAGCTCAACCTATGTTTGTTTATCTTGCAAAGAGGAAGCTATCAAAGGATACATTCATGCATCCTTTTATAAACTCTGATCACTTTGCACTTTAAAATATACACGCCATCTGATTTGAGGCATCACATCAGTACGTGTTCTCAATAAAATTTTCACCAAATTCCCTTGAATTATCCTCACTTAGTTGAGTTAGAGAACTTCTGCGAGCAGGGAAATGCCTTTGGAGTCGACAGCCAGCAACAATAGTTTTATTGTGTATGAGTGTATCCTGAGTTGACCTCTATTCTTCTTCAGTGCATGTATTATTGCTGGAGCCTTCTGGAGTCCATCTGGATGTTTGGATTTGGTCGCTTTGGTTCGTGCCAAGAACAATACTTCTTCCTCCTGCGGCCTGGCCGTTCCGCTGGCACCGACTCGCCTGCAGCTTCACTCTCACATAGTGTCCTGGCACCACACCAGGCCAATTAAGATCCACTGAGTGAGAAAGCCACACCAGTTATAACCTTTGAATATTATCAGACTCTTTTTTTTTTTTTTTACCGGGTTATGTTTTCAAGTAGTGTAAGTGGTTTTAAATTGACGCTTCTTGTTTTTTTGTCACCTAGTTTTGGCAAAAAAGACAGAAAGGATCATTTTACACAGACAAGACTTTATTAAAGTGAAATAAGGCAATGCCTTATTAAGTTAACATATGATTAACCAATGTTTTCCTCTTGCTTCTTTTTTTTTCCATCATCATGCTTTAGCGTTTAAAATTTATTTCAGGTTGACTTTGTGTAACAGGACAAACAGAATGCCATGAAATATATTTGCCCCTTGGGAGAGATATCCAAAAACAAAGTAATGAATAATTGCAAAAAGGGGTAAAAAAGGACACAGGGTTTTTGAAATATTTTCCATAAATGATTCTGCAAAGTGTTCCCAGCACTTTTATTCAGTCCTTTTCCTACTTTTAAAACCAACCCATGGCAAGTATTTATCTTTTGAAAACCCTGCAGCCATTCTTCTTCCTCCTTCTTCAGAATCATCCTCCACTTTGTGTTGACACGAGAGTGTATATAAGGAAAATAATATTCAAATTTGTGGTTCTTATGTGCTCCAAAAAACAATCTGTGAGTAATCTCATGTTCAGACATATTCAGAGAATCTTGACGGTTAGCACGAAAGCCTCAAAAATTATCTCTACATCTCCTAACATTACGTTTCACTTGCTAGACATAAAGACTTCCTTTGAAAAGAGTGGCTTGTCACGCTCAGACTGACTGCTGATAAGCTTCCTCCAGTGTCCATGTTCAGACAATGTGGATAATGTGCGAGACGTGGTGTACCAGCCAATGTTAGCTACACTTATATAGAACAATCACATGATTATGTGTCATTATAATATACAATATGACCTGTAAAGAAAAGAATTAAAAAAGGGTTCAGAAATACTCACACCTCTTGTACTTTTCCACATTTTGTCACATCACAATCACAACCTTCAACGTATTTCATTGAGATTTTATGTCACAGAGCCTCCAAAAGTTGTTCATAAATTCAAGGTGAAAGGAAAATAACATGGTTTTATTTTTTAATTCAGCAGTTGGAGTCAGTATTTTGTAGGATAATTTTCTGTGTCAAGTCTTTTGTCACATACCTCTAGCAGAATTGCACATTTAGATACTGAAACCATTGACCAATGGAAATAGCTCAAGCTCAGTTACACTGAATGGACAGAGTGTGATCATAATGTTGTAAGCATTGCCACAAATTATCAAGGCCTGGACTTTCAGAAAACCATTCCAACACATGAAAATGCTTTCATCTAAATCCTTTTATCCTCCTAACTTCATCCTTGACCTCTCTGCTGTGTTTCTCAGTGTTGATGATGCCGTTTTGTTCGTTAATTAATGATGTCAGAAAAACCTCTTACTCTTCCACAGAGAAAAATAAATTACTCAGGCGGACTCTTCTGAAAGCATCTTGTTGCACTGGATTATATCAGAGCAATTGGTACATCAACACCTTTGAGGTTTTGTTGGTAATAGAACTGAGAACCGTGTGTCGTTTTTACATGGCTTTTCTACTATACTCTTTGTGTTTGTCATGTAACAAAATGTGAAAAGTTAAAGGTCCATTAAATTTTCTTCTGCCGCTTTTGTCTTTCAAAATTGTCAAACACTCAAAGCAGTTTCATCACCTCCAGGAATGTGGACGCATATAACCCTCGCTGATCTTTGACATATAAAGCCGTTGCGCATTTGGCTCGTCCGATGGACTCATATTTAGCTCATACCCATCAGCTGGCAAAGCATCTCTGCTCAGCTGAGGCAGCTTGACACAACATCACAGCAGCATGCTCTCTGAGTTTTTCCCACGACCGCTTGTCTCGACAGCTGGCCTCAACAGTTACTGGGACAGGTGCAGATCTTTCACTATGTAGGCTGCACAGGGTCAGTGCTCCTCCTACATAATGACCTTGAGTCATTAAGTCAGTGGATAGGATCTCTCTGTTTGCATTGACATTAGCTAGCCTTAAAGTGACAAATGACTCAATTGGAAATTAAAGTTTGCATGCCTGCATGTATCTCAATTGTGTCCCCTTGTTCGCACAATTATATGGGTGTCTATGCTTGTCCATAGACACCACAGCACCAACCTACTTAACCTACTTAACCATTGTACATATTTTTCAATTTAAATGAGTTGGAGAGCAACCAATAAATTATTTAAATTAACTTTAGGAAAATCACCCCAATGAACTTGAATTTCTCTGCATTTGAGTGTTTCAGAAGATAAAATCTGTAAATAAATTGTGAAGATTGGTGCTTATTTCTGACTAACTGATTTTTTCTTGAAGTTTTTTACTGTTTCCATGCAGATCAGCTAGGAAAGAGGTGCGAAGTTAACTGTCTTCACATTTGTGCATAAAATGGGACTCTGAGTCAGGGAATAGAAAGTATTACACCATGGTGGCAGCATAAAATTATGATTGGCAACATAAGCTGAACTATAAAAACGATGAAAACCTTGTTTATCTACTCTACACGAACTACAGTTGCCAGTTCTTTTGAATTTTACATGAATAGTATGTCATGTCTTTCAGTTGTTTAAAAATGCATTTTATTTGTTTGAGCCTAAACAATCTGAAAAAAAAAAAAAAAAAAAAAAAAAAAACTGGAGCACAATAACAACAAGGTAAGATGCAGTTTGTATTCACATTCTTATAGTCAGTTCAGTTCATTTAAAATGACCCTGAGCAATAATTTGTGTAAACATTTCTACATTAAATTTTATTTGTTTGTAATTCTTTCAAGTAAATTTTACAGCAAGCACTAGCAGCACAAGTTGTCAGCACCAGTTTGCTCACGACTTGGCCTGACTCCTACTTAAATGAAAACAGCATCATATATTTTTAATAAGTACAGGGAGACGAACATCAGCTTTGGGGGTGGGTTATGGCCTAATGTGGACGCATTATGTGATATACTGCAATTTTTAAAATCTGTTATTTATCTCTATCATAATGTTCAATTCTCTAATGCAGTTAATCAATCAACCAACGAACTCTATTGCACTTTCATGCAACCAGCTTTGCAGGCATGTGACAGCTCACTGTTTTTCTACCAAGACAAATACAAATCCCTCCAATCAATAATCAGACCACACAAATACGAAACACTGACCAGATCACAAAATTATTGAGTGTGCCAGGCACCCACACCCACACATGCAATAAAAAACCAACAGGTCACAACGTGACCATAAAATAAATAACAGTTAGCAAAATACTTTTGCTAACTGTTTCAAATGAACAAGCAGTGCAGAGATCAGAATGAAAGTCGCTTAACGTCAGCCAAAATTCAACTTTCATAGAACCCAAATAGTTTTGAGGGAGATGGGCTGAAATCTTTCTTCTCTTCTTTACTCTAAAAGTCCTGTTTGTTTACCATTTGTTTGGTGTCTTCGTTCTCTTTCAGTTCAACTGGTAAACAATCTGCATTTTCTGGAATTTTCTCAATTGGTCAGACAGTGGTTGAGTTATAGGTTCAGAGAAGTTAAGAGAAACTGAGCTTCTTGTGAATCAGATGCAAAATAGACAACAGTGCTTTGGAAATTTAAACTCAATAAACACAATATTGTTATTTTAGACGTTGCAGAATATGTGTGTTGGACATGCATTTTTTGATAAATTGAAAAACAATTTTCCTTAACTCAAGATGACATTGGATACATAGTAATGAATTATGTGTGCTTCCAACCAAATGTTAACATAATTAAAAAAAAAAAGAAAAAAAGAAAAAGAAAACACCACAGTGTCTTAAACCTTTTGGGTCATGGTTTTAGTAGCTGGGAATCGATTCCTCTAAACTTTCCATCCTGGCTTCAGATTCTCAGTTAAACTTGATGCTGGATTATGAAGCAGCACAGATGTGAAATAAAACATAACGGAGTTTAAAAAAACTTTACAGCCCACTCTAAAACTCGTAAAGCTCATTCACTTAGAACCCATAAAGTTGCTAAATAGTCCCATCTGAGGCCATCTGCCTTTGCTCTCCTACAGCTGAAAGTTC